GAAAACTTTGCTTTTCAACTGAAATTATCCCAGCACCACAAAAGAGTTGACCAACTTCAAAAGGCACAAAGCACAAATGTATAATAGATTGTCATTTTTTGTGGCCTCTGGTTTAACCCCAGCCACCAGCCAAGCCCCATGCAGCTGGTCACTCACTCCCCCACCAGTGGGATCAGGGAGAGAATGGGAAGTGTAAAAGCTAGAAAAACTTGTGGGTTGAGATAAAGGCAGCTTGATAGAAAGAGCAAAAGCTGCACACACAAGCAAAGCAAAACAAGGGATTAATTCAGTGCTTCCCATGGGCAGGCAGGTGTTCAGCCATCTCCAAGGGAGCAGGGCCCCACCACACATAGCAGTGACTTGGAAAGACAAATGCCATCACTCCAAACATCCCCCCTCTTCCTCCTTTTTCCCTCCAGTTTATATACTGAGCATGATGTCACATGGTCTGGGATGTCCTTTTGGTCAGTTTTGGTCACCTGTCCTGATTCCATCTCCTCCAAATCTCCCATGCATTTCCTGGCCAGCATGCCAGTAGGAAAAGCAGAAAAGGTCTCAGCTCTGTGTGAGCTCAGGTCAGCAAATAACAGAACCTCTCTATATTATCAACCATGTGTTCACCACAAATCCAAAACACAGCCCCACACCAGCCACTGTGAAGAAAATTAATTCTACCCCAGCCAGAGCCAGCACAGGGCAGATTGTCTTGTGCTGCCTGTGCTGCCTGACCTGGTATTTGTGTTGCCACAGCAAGGCACCTGTGATTCATCTGCTGGTGTTTGCAGTTCAGCAGGCAGCTTGTGCTTGGCTGCTTGCCAGTGCTGCCTGCCAGTCCTGCCTGCCCCTGCCAAAGGCAGCACCCTGCCTTTGTGAGAGGGACCCCTGTAGTGACAAGGCATTGCTGCACAAGTGGACAGACGGTTAGAGGAGGAAAGGTCAAGAGGGGTGAGTTGGTCCATCAATCCACACTGAAGGTGGTGAATGCTTTACTGTGACTGTTACATTTTTACAAGCCACTTCTCTGCCACAGGAAAGCCGCCTCTTTTTCATTAGTAGGTATAAGTGCATTTGTGAGTGTACAATAGACATCTTAGATTTCTTTCCTCATATGATGGCAGACAACAGTCAGGTGCACTCATAGGTTCACATCACAAGGATCTTACATTGCTTTCACCTCTCTGTACTTTACTGCAAGTTTTGCCTATGTTTTGTTTGCCCTTGTTGCATTGAGTGTACGGTATTGAGCTTCCTTAGCATAAAGTGTGAACAAATTCAGTGGATAAATCAATCTGAATACTGGAGCTGTATCAAGTTGTGCATCTTAAAATAGCAGTCCCATTGAATAAGTCTATGAGTAAGCAGCTCCCACAAGCATGTGCTGCATTTGCTGTGTACTAGGAGTGTAGGACCCAGCTGGAATCAGAAGGCAACGTCAGACATTTCTGAAGGAGCTTCTAGAAAGAATATGTCTGGAAGGACAGTCAGTTGGAGTCACTTGGTCAGTGAAATTGTTTGGTCAGGAGATACTCAGCCAGCTAAGAGTCATTAAGTGGGGAGGGAAGGCTGACCTTGCCACTCTGAAGGACCTGAAGCTGTGCCAAATTATGCAGAGTTAGTTAAGGACTCTCGTTCGTAGCTTTCATAGTTCATCAGTGATTCTTTGTTGTCATAGAGAAGTGGTGGAAAGATGGTGTGAATATGAGGAAGGAACCAAATAAAACCAATGTTAAAACAAGCATGTGTACATATATATATATATATATATATATATATATACATATTTAAAATCCAAATGCAGATATACACATCTATATTTTTATATGCATCTATATGTATGTTTTTATATGCAGATATACACATCTATATTTTTATATGTGTGTATGTGTTGGAATTTTGCAATGTTAGCTTCTGACAGATACAGAGATCAATAAAATGTGTCACTGCTCTTCCAAACTGTACACATTGCAGAGCTTGTTGATGCTAATATTCCTATGAAGATACTCCTCTGTGTGCAAGACACTGCAGTGTTTTTGATCAAGTGACTTTGACATTACCTCTGAAGACATGACCACATAAATCGGAAATTATCTGGAAGTAATGTTCCGTTAAAGCTGAAATACAAGATGCATGTCCCCTTTAATTCTGGCTCGTAACAATGGGTATAGATCCATTTGGACTGTGGAACTGTGTCATTTAAGCTGTATTCCACAGTGTGGCTCATCTAAACATCACAATTTGTCCCTATGTTCCCTCATCTTGCTACAAGTGCCAGCTGCACTGATAGCCTCCAGAAATTTTTTCATGACAGAATAGCTTGTCTTTTTCCCTGCTGTCTTTTCAGACAGACTTGCAAGATAAGATGTCTTTAAGGTCAGAACTGCTAGAGGTACACTATACATATATATATATATAAAATTATATAATTCTATATGTGTGTGTGCAGCATTTTTGTCATGAGGTATTCAGTAATGTTTTTCTCAACTGACCTTTCCATGTTATGCTTTTCATCGACAAATGTGACAAAGCTTGCTCAGAGATGAAGCAGAAAGCTGGGACAGGTGGCCCTTTAGCATCCCTCCTCTGTGCCTTCTGCTGCTATTGCTGTTGGCATCCTCTTGCTACAGCCAGGAGCTAGTATGACCTAAAAAAACCTTCACGCCATCCTGCAAAGGAAAAGGCTAGTGGGGAAGGAGAAAAAAACAAAGTGGAGGCAGCAGATTCAGGGGTGACTGACTACCCAAGCACTCAGGGAAAAAGGACACCAGGGAGAAGCAGGCAGGAGATGAGAGAGATGGAGAGAAGGAATCCACTGGATGGAGCAAGAAGAGGAGGTAGATGTGTGAAATACACAAAGATAGCTGGATAGTTACTAATTTCATTGCTATGGCATCCAAGTATAAATAAAAGAGCACCTCTAGAAGGAGAATTAGGGTCTATGCAGCTAAATTTCTGGGAAGTTTCATTAAAATGGTACATTGACTTTATATTTTAGCAGCTCATCATTTCTTCATCATATCATTTCTTATCATTTCTGCCTATCATTTCTTCATCACCTGTGCTAATTATTTGTAGTGCTTGAACAGATTCACTGGGTTTTGGAGTTTTTTTCCTGTAATTGCCATGTATCACAAGCAAATTCTAACCCATTAGGGATAGCTTTGTCTCTCTAAATTTAAAAGTGTTTATTCAGTTCCTGCAATTTGAGATTTGGAGACAAGCCTGCAAGTTCCAGATGCAATATTGTCAGCAAAATAGTTTAGAGGGTATTTTAGGTGAAACTTGGACATGTTGACAGAGCATATATCTTTTTGAATCTTCAAAGAATTTAAGTTAAAAGAGACATCAAATTTGTCAGCTAGGTAGAAGTGTGTTTCAGCACTGGCTCCTCATTAGCCAACTGAGAAAAATGACACCTCAGTCTTTTCATAACTGGTCTTAAGAGTACCTGGGTTTGACTGTGTGTGAGACAATAGAAAAAAAAATGAAAATATTTGCTTTAAATCCTTAATTTTGGTTTTTCAATAATTGCCTGTGAAGGCTGACATGAAAGCAGACAGAGCTATCTGAACAGTGTTTACTCAGTCTCGTGATTGCATACTTGCAAGTATGCATGTCTGTCTAAGAAAGATTTATGAAACTCAGTAAAACTTTTCCAGACAGGAGGCAGAAGGGGAATCTCTGAAGTATCAACAAGCTGTGATCCGTAGAATTTCCTCCACTGCTATCTGATGATACAGCCAGGTGTTACTGGACAGTGCCATGGAGGGAATCTCTCTGTGTAGAGCACATTGCAGATATGGATTTATTGATGAGACAAACATGGCAGATATTTAAGATACTCAACTAAAGCACCACACAACTTTCCAGCTCTCTTCTCCCTGGGAGATCACTACACTCCCATAATCTGTGTTAAGCACTATTGTGCTGGTAAGTCACTTTCAATTAAATTGCTCTCTCCAATAAATGTTGACCATTTAAGAAAAGTAAATGCATTATTAACACAGTGAAACGTATTGATGTGTAATCTGACTCCAGTACTCACCTTAGGTCTGCATGAAAAGTACAGAATCTTCCTACACCATGCCTACATTAATGGGTTACACAACCATGATTGCTAAGATAAAATAACTTGTTCCGATTTGATGTTCATTTTTAAAACATGCAGATTGTATTTCAAGGAGTGAAAGGTTTCACAAGCAAAGCAACAGATTGCACAACAAGTAAGGCGACAGGAGGGTGTAATATAAAGTTTGTCTTCTACTTTAAATTCTATTTACTACTTATCAGTGTACGATAACCATCAGTTACAGCCCTAAACCGTTGCCCTGATGCAATTCCTCCCTTCTTGTTACATGGGACATTCCCAAGCACAAGACCCGTCTCCCAGGGTGGCACATGTCCTGCTAAGCAGCCTTGTCCCATGCAGTCCTTCCTCCGCCTGCCACAGATCCAGCAGATAATTACCAATCACACCAACTATTACCAACTGCAGCGATGATGGTAGCTGATGATTATCAGAGGACTGCAGCCCTGGTCTGTGCGTGAGTGATGCTCGCTAAATTCCTGCAGAGGATGACACTAAAGCCTCGCCTATGCTGCTGACACTTGGGACCAGCCGTGCCGGTGGGATACAGCGCGCTGATGTTCCCGGGTGGCGTCGGCGGGGTGGCACACCGGGACACCGACAGCTGCACTACAGATCCCAGGGTGCAGCGCGTCTGCGCCCTGCCCCCCTCCAGCGCTCAGGCCCCGCGGAGCCCGCCGGGACTTGTAGTCTGCGGAGGCGGGCGGGCGGGGGCTCTGCCGGCGCGGCTCCCGCCTGCCGGCCCGGGGCCAGCCGCGCTCCCCGGATCCGCCGAGGCGGCGAGGCGGGTGCAGCCCGCCGCGCCGGGCGCTGCCTCCCCGCCGCCTCCCCTCTGGGCTCCCCGCCCGGGAGCAGGGAGCCCCCGCGCAGGGGGCAGCCGGCGGGGCAGAGCGGCGGCGCTGCCCGGCGGAGCACCATGCTGGAGTCCATCTGTGTCACCGGTGAGCAGCGGGAGCAGGAGCGGGAGCGGGGGCGGCGCGGTCCCCGCCGCGCCCGGGGCAGCCGGCCGGCCGCCAGCGTTTCCCCGCCCAGCGAGCAGGCATCGCCCGGGCGGCGCCGCGGGTGTCGGTGGGGTGTCCCTGGGGACGGGGGAAGGGCTCCACACCTGCCTGGCTCCAGGAGCAGGAACCCCCCCGGTGTCCCTGGGGACGGGGGAAGGGCTCCACACCTGCCTGGCTCCAGGAGCAGGTGCCTCCGCGGGGAGTGGGGAGTGAGCGTGTCACCTGCGGGCCCTGCCCCGCGACACCGGGGAGTGCGGAGGTGACACCCGCTCCGCTGGAGCGGGGAGAATGCAAGGGAGAATGCCAGAAAAACTACTGCTGGTTATATCTGGTGCTTACACGTTTTGGCTCTACCCTTTGCTGTGTTCTCAGAGAAGTTAACAAACCCTTATAGGATATGTGTATACAAATCTCTGTTATGACTGTATAACGATAATATAGGCAGGTTTGTGGTGCCACACAAAACTGGCTTCTTGTGCTGTGTACAATGCAGTTGATGCTTGAAAACAGATGTTTTCCTTGTTTAAATTTGACATCCTTTCTTGTGTCATTACTTCAGCTGGCTCAAGCCAATGTTACTTTTCCACGGGGAAATCTATCTATAAGAAATCTGCTGGAGGTGTCTTAATTCAATACCCTTGCAATCATAATTAAGATCTCTTACAGCTACTCTTTCTCTGCATAATTGATATGCTGTTCCATCTGTGCATGGATATGACTGGAATGTTACTTCTGATAATGGGAACAGAAATAAAGTTCCATGGGATCGATCAGAGCAACCCTGGAGATGTGCAATAGCCACTGCAATCTTAAAGGATGAGATTTTGTGAAAAATAGTTATTTTGAGTCCATATCCCTCCATCAAATATTCCTGACTGCACCTGTGTTGCAGTAGAAGCCAGGGACCTGCTTGGATGAGAGTTTCATCCTGTGCAGGTCTGCCTGTAAATCAGTGTTCTGTGATTATATCCTGAGTTTATTACATCAGTAGGAGTTTGTTGCTTGATTTCATTAGAGCCAAGTCTTCACTTTTATTGATTATTACTGTGCCCATGTAATTTAATTTGAAGGGCCCAAATTTGGAGTCAGTTACATAATACTGTATTTCAATATAGAAGTAAACGTGCAGGAAACTGCTTGCAAGTCAGTCCATACATTTGGGTTTTTTTGTTTGGTTTTTTTTTTTTTTTTTGGTAGAAGGAGTACATCTCAAATAGCATTGTCATTTTAAAGAAGAAAATCCAAACTGCCAATCATCCTTAAAAATGCATAGTTACTTATGAACACTGACAGCTAATTAATGAGATATACAAGTTGGCTGATATCTGAAACCTGCCCTTGGTTTTGGAGCTCAGAATTAAAAGCTGGATGACAGATAACACCTTTACAGGAGAAAAGTAAATAGGTGGATATTTTGGGAGGGGAGGAGAAAAAAGAGTCTTAGGTTAAATGTAAAAGTTCCCAATATTATACAGGCTCTAGTTAATAACTAAGATGCTTGTGAAATTAGAAAGTAACTCAATGTCAGTGTTTTTACAGAAACTCATTGCCTAATTCTGCTGTTAAACTGTGTTCAATCATAGACAAAGCTTCCAGTGTGTTCTAGTTCAAGTTGCCTGACAGCTTCTGTTCAAAACTGGTGTTTTTAAACTTTAAAGGGGTTTCCAGTGGTGAGGAAATAGAATATAGGATTGTGGGGAGATTCAGTTATGCCACAAACACAAGCCTGCAGTTTTTGGGAGGCAGTGGAACATTACAGGTTCGTATACAGCACTTTATGTATGCTTTCTTCAGAATATTCTTTCTATAGCCGTCTGCAGAGACAAGCCATAGTCTAGAGCCCATAAACTACAGGGGATTGTGAATCTATTCAAATTTTCTGAATATGGGAGATAAACATTTCTTTGTAATTCTTTACCTTTGTAAAGGTAGTTGTACCTTTGCACAGTGTATCAAAGGAACAATTTTACTTGTCACATCCATGTAGTTGCTTCTCATCTCACAATTTCAAACTTAACTATTGCTTGTAGATAGATCACATACATTATTTGCATTCATATAAATCTGAAAATTGAAGTCAGCCTTGAAATGATTTCTGATTTTCAGCAAAAAGAAACTCAGCCATATTCTAACATGGTAATGGTAATCTTAAAAATGAAAGTAGTGGCTCAGACCATTACATCCCAAGGATAGGAGGAAGTTCTCCATGAACATGTTTGCTAACCACCTTAATCACACCTGGAGTTTGGACAGGGTTTGTTCACTGTGCATATATAACCTGAGTGACAGCTGCTTGAAAACTGCAGGAGCTCTCTGCTATTTTAGAGCAAGGCTAGCCAGACAGGGATATCTGTGCCACAAATACCTGTCATTAACCTCATTCCACCTGTGGAACAGGTATTTAAGAAGCTGCTTGGATAGTAGCTGCCCTGTTGTCTAGAGGAAGGTATTATTTATACAGCATACTGCAAAGGCTAGAAAAATGCTTACGCTGGGATTTTACCATGCATATTATTGACTTATTAGCTCAATCCATTAGTTTCTAAAGGACAGAGACCAATAATATGACCTGGCTCCTAAATATAACATAAAAATCTAACTTTTTTTTCTAACAAATAACCTCTGACAAGATTAGGCAGTGTCTGCAGTGGTGCAAGGCTCCAGGCTAGTAACTGGGATGCAATTTATACATAGAATGTGTTTCATAAGTGCAGAATTGTCATGAAATTTGTGGTTCCCACATATTCTCTGTTAGCACTCATGGACTCCATCCCTTTTCTAGTACTGCCGTGACACTGGAATAGCTACTTGTGCATAAATGGAAGTTACAGATACAACTCCTCTTTCTGCAAAATTCTGTGGTATTTTGAACCGTCCTGTGACACGTAGTGCACTTGTGTCTGCAGGATGGAGTAAGTCCAGTACTGCCAGTTCCAACTGATCTCTTGACAATGAGGGGATTTTGGCTAGGGCACAACCTGCTCTCTTGTGAGATTCTTTAGACTCACAGGGGTAGTTGTCTTTGGCTGCCTGGCTGCCCTGATAGCCCAGCTTATAGGACAGCAGACATTGAACACCATTGCACTCAAGAGTGGTAGAGGTCTACTCTTTAAGCCCAAGACAGACCAAGTTGCCATTAACAGGAGGGCTTTCTGTTTTTGGGTACCCTAATTATGACAAAACGGGGACAGGCAGCCATTCTGTCCCCTCCTTGCTTATCCCTTGCCATCACACTGCACTCCAAATGTGGCAGATTGTTGCATGTAATATTTCACCTGTGCCTCTAGGACCATTTTTTTATTAGTGTTGTTGCAGAAAGGAACAAGGTATAAATAAATGGAAGTAAATGTGATGGAGAGAATCTTTTAGGAAAAGACTATATTAGTTTTGTTGTGGGTTTTGGGGTTTTTTTTTGATTGCTGAAGGGCTTGTGGCTTTGTGACTGTTGAGTGTTAGGAAATGAGAACAATGAAAAGAATCCTGGTACAAAAATTACATGAGGGAGGTTCTCAAAGGTAACTAGAGCCTGGGGCGTATGTTCTTTGACAATTTTCTACTGGAAAAACAGAAATAAGCCAGGAAATTCAGATTTGTACTTCTCAGAACACATGTAGCACATGTGGATGAGATACAAAAGATAAAACCTATGGGATCTGTAGCGTGATATCTGTATTCTGGTATGCAGCGTAGTGTTACACCATAGCATGGTGGTTTTCAATTTGCTTTTTTCATGTCTTTTAGAAATAATCTCTCCAATGGTATCCAGAATTTAAAAGCTGGGAATCACTGCTAAGCAATCCATGCAATTAATCTGGGTTGATAATCCATTCCAACTGGCTACTTTATAGCAGCACAGTATCTCAGTACTTTTTGAAATACTGAAGCAGGTTTTCAGGAGGCAGTGAATTTGTTTTTGTGCAATGAATTTGTTTTATATTCAAAATACTAGACCTCATTTTCAATCACCAGGCATTGCTAATCAGTGGAAGCTCTTGGATATAGTAAAACAAGTTTCCTGGAAGACAGTATATTCTTAATTTGGCTGATGCTGTCTGATTTACAGATGTGAGTTTAAAATATGTTATAGCTTAAACAAATATACTAGAGAAAGGATTTTAAATTTGGTGCTTTGCAACATGATTTTGACATAGTCTCAAATATTTTTTTCTCATTTATTTGGTAATGATGTTCAGAAGACCTGTACAAAATTTTGGAATAGCAGTTAAATGACTTCTGTGAAAACTGCTTTGTTGTCTATTATAATATTTCAAATGTGCCAGATTACCTGTTGATTCTAGGTTTCCAGCACAAATAGGCATGGAACAGTATCCTTTAGTCAGAAGAAAATTAAGGACAGCCACACTTAGTTTGGCAGCTGAAAAATCACTTTGCTACAAGATTGCGCTTATAAAGTAACTACAGATTGGGAACAACTATTTTTGATATCAGCCATGTGCATGTGAAACCTGCCAGTGCATGTTCAGCACTCAGCCACAATTTGTGACACTTCCAGGAGAATTCTGACTTAGGGCATTCAGTGATTGTCTACATATAAAAGCATTTATTACTGGCCAGCTGTACCTCTTAGCTCTAACAGCTTGCTGTCATGGGTTTTTGGTATTAGATTGACACAAGCTTTGGGGGAGGGAGGGAATGGGTGGTTTAAGGTCATTTTGAGCTGTTTCTTTGAATTAAATTGCTATTTTTTTTCTTTTTTATCACTTCTTAGATACTTGTGTGATATTAGTTCTAACTGTTCCTTTACAGCAGCAATTTAAGGCTTCTATATTCTTTGTGGCTTTTAAGAGCTGGTTAATAGAGAAGGTGAAGCATTAATGCCTCAAGTATCATGTTATTTCTTTGTCTATATTTTAAGAAGTAGCTGTGTAATTTCCAAGTCCAATTTTGTCTACCTAAGCAAAGTCATGTGCTCAGAAATTTAATATGTGTTCAGACATTCTGGAAACCTTAGTTTTCACTTACCCTTCTTAAAAGTAAGGATTCTCATACTGTAGCAGTTGATACAGGTCTGAAGTCAGTCTCAAAGACCAGAAATACGAGCATGGTCATCCCATTCTGTTATCCAAAAAATGCATCTCTCTTATGTATTTAGTTTGAAGTTGTTCTCCTTGTGATGGGGAACTGTGGTTTCTAACCACAACAGCTCATGGGAGAGCAAGATAAGCCATGTAGGCAGGTTGTCACATATGTGATGAGAATAATCTGACAGAATTTGAACAGGAATGCCAAGGAGCACGCTCCTGTGCCAAGCATGGAAAGAGGATTCACAGACTTATGATGGAAGAAAACTGAGTTTGCATAGGATACACGTGCTTTAGTGAAGGGGAATAATCTAATGCTTCTACCTCTTTTCTTTCCAGTGGAGAAAACACCCTGGCTGCAGATCACTCATCACATGTTCATGCAAACTGGATCTCTGGTCTTTTTGGTTTTTAGGGCAGGATGTTTGGGAGAGCTGAGGAACAGAGGTTGATATGGAACTGACAGAGGTCCAACAGCATGAAATACATTGTCATGGTGCTTATGTTGGGAGCAAAACTGAATTTTATTGTGAAAATAAATCCGAAATTAAGCCACTGTTGATTTTTTTTCCACCTTGGAGGGATTTAATGATCTCTTGCTGCTATTACCTTCAGAGTATAATTACTGTATGTAAAGTAATTACAGTTCAACTACATATAACTGGGGGATGAAGCTCAAATCCCTTTTGCAGGCTTTAATCATGCCACAGCTATATCTCCTGTTCTGTGAATCCTTTGATTTTAGGTACAGATGTAGGAAATATTTCTCTGTGGCACAACTTATTTGTATGGGTAGTTTCGGCTCACCTAATGTTCTGGGAGGAACGGGTTGTCAAGAGGAGGGGGTGGTTAGAACCAGTGAAGTGAGGTCACTTCTCTCTAACAAGCCAGCACAAATGTTAAATTCAGTTTTAATCCTCAATGACTTTTCTGTGCAGCCGGTCTGCACCAGGGACCAGTCTTCCCCAAAGGCTATGCCAGGGGTCAGAGCAAGAAAGGATGTTTCACTCTAATTAAAGAAACCTTATTTGCTTCTTGCACTTAGTTTGATTATAATGTTCCTTTTCAAGTGTTTTTTTAAGCCAGCTGTTATGGTAGAACAACTTTGATTAGATGAAACACACACTGTCTTAAGGCTTTTCAGGAGTGTAACTAGCTGATCTCTCTTGCCTCTCCAAATATAGCTTATTGTCTGTATTAAGACTGAAACTGTATTAACACATGAAACTGAAGTCTTTTAAACATATAGTAATATATGTTTATAATATACTGTTGAAAATTGTTTACAGTGCCTGGCCCTTTCCAATGTTCTCACCCTTTTCTGAGAGTAAACTCTGTGAATCAGATTTTGCAGGTGAGATCACACCAGACTGCTTGTATCACAGCACAGATCCCTGTGGGACTTCACTGTAAACACTGCTCACATGCTCCTATGCAGTTTCCTATGTTTTAAGTTATTCTTTGTCCTTACAGAAAGCCTTCCTTGCATGATAAAGATCAATCAGTTCAAAACTATTCATTTGTTAATGTAGCAGAAGATGTTAATGAAGTTCTGCAGTCTTTTTTTAAACAACTGAGTTCTTACCTGCCAGCAGTGTAGTTGTCCATTGTGAAAAATGCATGTATTTTATGATTGGCTTTTCGCAAATATTAAAATGAATATTATATGTGTTGTGTTAGAAAGTAATGCTCTATTAATTCTCTTAAGTAGTGTGTTAAATATAGTTTTAGGTTATAAAAAATATTAAAATAGAAACTATGCTATGTAGGATACTTTTTTTAAAGAAAGGACTTGCAGTGAGATAGCAGCCACGGGACACCTAAATCTTTCAGAGAAAAAGAATTGATTGCCCTCTTATCAGAAGAAACCGCTGTTAGGATTCAGAGGAAGAAGTTGACAATGACCAGACAGAATTCTGTCTTTGAATGGAATTTGTGTATCATGTATGAAGTGTATGAATATGCAACAGGCTGTTGCTTTTAAGGGTTAATCCTTTGTTAACGGGTGTCCTTTTTCGGGCTCGTGCTGCCCAGAAAAAGGTACCCGGATGTCTGTAACTCTTTGATTCTATTGTCTCATATTGTCCTAATTCAAATTGTCCAAATTATTATTACTCTAATTGTATTACTATTTTTATAACCATTTTATTACTATTAAACTTTTAAAACTTTAAAAACAAGTGATTCGCATTTTTCACATGCCTGGGGATGCAGGCATAAAACACTCGTTTAGCTGGACCTTACAGGTCCCAGTCTAATTGTTCAAAAGTGATGTACACACTCAGTTCTCCCCTTTGCCTAGATGTCAAGATTAATGTGATGTGACTGCAGTTAAGACATTTTGTGTTTCCTTTATGTTGCAGTTTTGAGTCCTTAACATTAGTTTCACTTTGTGAAAATCAAGTTTGTCCTCATTATTTCCTTTTTTTTCCCTTAAATGCAGAAAAACTTCATTGGCCTAAGACAGAGCTTTCTAGGAAATCAGTCCTGAGTCTGGAAGTACACAAGCTGAACATTAATAATGAAAACAGCCTCCAGCATCCTACTTCTGGCATCCTTAAGGACATTTTCACAACAGGGACCAGTAGCTACAACGTCCTTCTGCAGAGCAAAGAGGAGAAAAAACACCACGCTCAGAAGCAGCCGTCCTCGCACCACAAGAAGCACCGGAGAGCCGCCGCCAAGCGCTCCTGCAGCCCGCGGGGCAGCCGCGGGAAGGCGCCGCTGTCGCTGCCGGGCGGGCGGCGCTGCGGGCCCCGGCAGCCGCCGCTGCTCAGCAATGGCCCCGCGGCCGCCGCCCTCGGCAGCGCCCCGGCCCCGCCGGCCCGGCCCCGGAGCAGAGCTAAGAAGCACTCCAGCCTCGCAAAGCCAAAGCAGGCCCCGGCCTCCAAAGGCCATGGGCAGCAGGGCGATGCCGCTGGGCAGAAGCTGTGTTTGCTGACTGCCATCAAGCCGTCCAACGTGGAGAAAGAGAAGGTGAAGTTTTTCGACTCGGATTTCACGTACAATCCTCAGTTTGAATATGAAAACCCTGCTCTGCCAAATGTGTTAGCTAAGCACAGCCATGCGTCCGACAGATTTCTTAAGCAGGTAGAGTTGCTTTTATTCCCCTCCATTTCCATTGATTATTTCTTCCTACACCTACATGGTATTTGGCTTTGTTTGTAGCAAGTAATTTCTCCTTATTCTCCCCTGTGTCACAGACATCTTTTATGAAAAATCCTTTCCTTAGGATTTTTTCTCCTGAGAAGCTGTGAGGCCTCAGGAACAAAATGTAAACAATGGATATCTGCTGCTGTGGAATGCAGCAGGTGGATCTGTGATTGGTCTCATGCGATTGTTTATAATTAATGGCCAATCACAGTCCAGCTGGCTCAGATTCTCTGTCTGAGCCACAAGCCTTTGTTATTCATTCCTTCTTTTTCTATTCTTAGGATTTCATCAGAAGGCTAGCTTTCTTCTATTATTTTAGTATGGTTTTAATTTAATACATATCATAAAATAATAAATCAAGCCTTCTGAAACATGGAGTCAGATCCTCGTCTCTTCCCTCATCCTCAGACCCCTGTGGACACTGTCACACCCCAGCTCTTTGAAACGTGCATCAAAGATGAGAATGCACTACTAAAACTGAAATAAAATCTTTTTAATTAAAAAAAAATTAAAACCTTTCTGAAATTTACAGGATTTTACAGGGATAAAGGCACAGTTCCTTCTAAATGGGTTTACGTGAAACGTAATAATTTAAAGCAAGAAAGTTTTGTAGGCAATGAAGCAACATCCAGTAGAGGAAAAATACAGTGCCTAAACAGGCAGAGGAATAAGGCAGCATAGAAATCCTGCCAATCCTCTTGGTGACACAGGGATTGGGAGGGGATAGCAATTATTTGAGGTCATAGTTATTGGATAAGCATATGTTGATGTTCTTTGTTTTAATCAACTTTGAAAGGGTGTTTGGATATACATTAGACTCAATCAAGCAGCAGCCAAATTCCATCCCAGAGAGAGGTAAATTTTAAGAAGACAATTTTGGTTTTTCATAACTTACAGTCATACTGGTAACATAGCTACAGACATTCCCATACTGTGTAACTGCCCTGGCTTCCTACCTGAATGACCAAAAAACCTAAACAGCAAAAGCCCTGCTTTCAACTTTGACCTAAGTGACAAAACCCAGTGCTTATCTCTACAGTAGCAGAAGCAGTATTCTTCCCACTTTCACTATTTTAAATGCTTTAGAAGATTTTTTTTTAATGGTTTAGATCTTATTTAGGTCTGAACAAGCTTTTCTAAACAGAGACTCTTACATATTCGAGTGATACTTAACTTGGGAAGACATCCTGCCATTCCATGAGTTTCACTTCTTTGCAATATGAATATTTCACTTAAAACTAATATTCCTGGTGGCAAAGATACAAGAATTAAAAGGACTAGGAATTGTAAGAACTCATCCCTGACTTGTGAACAGACTGATTTTTTTTCTTCTTCTAAACTGAAGAATGTACAAAGTGTTGTTACCCATTACATCATTGTATTGATAGTCTCCACTTTCACACTGAAAATATCTGTATATTTTAACAACTCAGTTTCTGGGTTTTCATTAAAAATTTATTTTCTTTATGAGAAAAGGGAACAGCTGTTCTATTCTTAAAATCATATTCCATACTTCCAAACAATGAACTAAATTGCAATGACACAAATAAAACTGCTCCTTGACTAGAGCTTTAATTAGATTCTCCTTTGATTTTTTTAGCAATATTAGCAACATAGATGACAGCAAATCAACAACTACTGATTTGAGAAACTGAATTTAATACAAATTATCCCTTTTAGCGTGGGCTAGCAGAGCCTTAAAAGTCCATTTATGCATGATGATTTTCTGGAGCAAACCTGTCTTTGGTTTACCCTTCTTTTAACAAAAACCCATAAGTGTAAGTATTGGCTATTTTAAGAATTAATGATTCCTCAATATTTTTCTGATTTGTAACTCTACCTTTTTCCCTGTCCATAAAACGTATGGGAAAATAAAGGCCCTGTAACAACTTTATAAAAGGCAGTAAAGGATTTAATATTCAAGGAAGTATATTTCTGACAATTAACAAGGAATATGTAAATTGTTTCACAAGACTTAGTTTGAGTCATTAGAAAAGCATGTATTCAAAGTTCAGCTCCTAAAAATACCAAACAAAAATACCTTGCACTCAAAAATGCCCAAGCCAGCAGCTTTAACACAGCTCCAAGCCCAGCAGGTGTCACTCTCTCTCTTTTATCTACAACTAGCTTTAGAAATTTTCATCTCCACGCAAATTTGAATTTAATTTCATGCAAATGTACTATCCAGAAAAAGCAGCATTAATCAAAAATTTTAATCAGGAAGTATTGTAGGAGCTCCTGTTTTTCCTCATTGCTATTTTTTTTTTCACGCAGATCTTACTTGTCAGAAGAAACACGTAGGTATCTTACAGCAAGTTCAGAAAGGATGACTTCAGTTGCAAAAAAAGTACTTACAGTATCAAGAGCTGGGTGTGCAGTAAAAAAGCAGCTGTGTGTAGTCCTCCTTTTTGCTTCAAGAAGGTTCAGTTCAGTTTTGTTGGGGTTTTTTTTTGGAAGCATATTTGGCTTCTGTTTATTCATCCACTTATTTTAGAAAGCCTTGGTAACTGTGAATAGTTATTCCTATTTTTTTCTACAAAAGGTGCTCATGGCAACTTACACTTGCTTGCTCTTTTATGAGTAAAAAGCTGTAAACCCAGCTCTTACTGACTGAACCCACCATGTTTATAGGGGGCTTTTAGGATACTTAAGCGAAATGAGCTCAAAACCTGACATTTCAGAGACTTTAGAGACTTTTTCAGTCATGTCAGAAATCTTTTTACCCACAGCTGTGCATAGCCTGCTAGGACATTAAAACAGATTGTGTTTTCTTATTGCCCTTTCTGCATTTGTGCATGTCTATGAAATTGGTTAATATAGCATTACTGAAATATGCCTGGAAGACAAATCACACTCTGCCCCGTTTATTTACTTCTTTTTAAAGACAAAGAGCTCTGAAGGTTTGCAAACCATTAAGCCAGCAATGCTGCAGTGGGGAGCACACAAGCTTGTGAGCACCCACTTTGCGCCATGCCTCTGCTTAAATCAGAGCTTTTAAACCTTGGGCACAGCCCAACACTTTTATTGATTTTCACAGACATAGAGAAAACATTTTTGAGTTATTAATGCATTTGAAAAATGTTAGTTTTAGTGTCTTCCTTCTCATACTGTGTTCTGTTTGTTTCTCCATATCTACATTTTGATATTTTCTTCATAATAAGGTTTTTTCATGAGTCACACAATACAGTGTTTTTAGGGAAGTAAACTGGAGAATAGAAAATAGCATGCAGATTTGCACTCTTCACAAGGATTAACATATCTGATATTACAGAAGTTAATTTTCTTACCACTGCGTTTCAAGGTCACTGCAGCAGCTCTGTGGTCTGAAAGTTTTCTGGCTCAAACTACTTAACCCTCATTGTGAAGTTTCTTAGCACTCAAACTGTTTATTATTTTTGCTCAGATGCTAGAGGTGCAAATATTTGCTTAGAAATAGTTGTTCCCAGTGTTTGCAGAGCAGATGAACTTAACAGTTGCAATTTGCTGAACCAAAATCAGCAAGTTGCAATTTTAAGTACCCTGTTTCTTTGAACTGTACAAGGCAGCAAGAATTCTATTTCTGTATACATTAAAAAAAAAAAAAAAAAAAACAAACAAAAAATCCCCAACCATTTCGTCAAATGAGTGATCCTCCCACAAAAGGGTTATACATCCTCTTCCCTTGTACTCATAAGAGTATAGCAGTTTTGGATTCATAAATAAACCAGTTACACCACATTGCAAGTGTTTGTGTGACACCTTTTAAGGCAATAATAAAAGTAGCCTACAATTAGCAAATTTATCAGATTTTGGAGAAAAAAATTTAGGTGGAGCTGGAAGGCTAAACTACATGGCATTCAACACTGAGTAATCCTTTGCTATGTCCAAGTGATGTCACAGCTGAGGCATGTGGAAGATTCAAGGACATGACACTGTCTGTATAAAGCACTTCATTCTGCACTAGTAACAAATTCCCCTGCTAACTAGGGTTTATAGATAAGTTGTGCTAATACATATCACAAAGCATGTCAGGCCACCCAAGTGGCACATCTTCTCAGGGTCTGACACAAACATCTCTCTTCCCCTGGAAGGGACTAATAGATCACTTCTGGTGGTGCCACAGTAGGAAGACAGCTTTACTTCAGAGCATAGTCTCATACAAAAACACAGTGAGTATTAACTTCAAATTATTTGCAAAGTAATTTAAAAGTTTTTAATTAAAAATACTTCTACCAGCTCTAAATTACTTAAATGTGACCTTTATACCACTAAGAACAAGCATGCAAAAGAAAAGCCTCTATGAACACTGAATAAAACCCCAAATACTACAGCCTGAGTGGACTAGAAATGGGTACTTACCTTCCTCCCTCCATTCCTCTTGACCCAAACAGCCACCATTTTATGGTTGTTGATTAAACTAACAAGCTCAGCCTGGTACTAACTGTTACACAATGATGCACCTTGGAAGTTTTTATGCACCTTGGAAGCTTTTTTTCCCCCCAGCACATAAGTTATGCAGGAAGAAGAGCAATGGTGTGTGTCTGCCTTGTCTGTCTTACAAGTCTCAGCAGAGATTGCAACTCCTTTGCAGCAGAGCTGCTTCTGAATGTAGATCTAGGCTGACTCCTAGATCACTGAGACCCTTCTCTGACTTGCTTGCCTCACACTACTCATAAGAAGTCTTATCAGTACATATTTCTACAATAAGTCTCAACCACTGAGCTGAGTTGCTGGACATGGGTGACTTGAGATTCAGAGACCTACTTGGCTGTAAATAATTTGTTTTAGAAAGCCAACACCACCATAACCTAATCCAGTCAGTTAAACAGCCTTGCCTTGCTCTTTTTCATGCTTCTGTGTCATTGCTTTCTTGAGCATCAGTAGAGTTTGCTGTGCAAGGGGGCTTGTCTTATGATTGCTACTTCTTTTGGCACTCTTTGGTAGTGATCAGAGGGATAAGCAGACATTTTAAGTAATATTGAAAAGAATAGGAATTATTACTCCTAACCAGTAACCTGGTACAGCCACGTAGCTCGTCTTTTCTTCTATTTTTTCACTTGTTGCTGAAGAGTTTACAATTTGGCCTTGGGAAGTGCAGCAGTACCAGTGTCCTGCTGGCCCAGAGGCTGGAAAATTAGCTCACAGTTGGATGCTGCAGTAGGCAGCAGCTGGCATGCTGGTCTGGATTTTCCCCTTTCCCAGCAAGTTCTTGCAACAGCTGACTGAATCATCTCACCTTGGAGGCAGGTGCAGAATCCCAAATTAAGGGCTTGGTGTTTTAGTCAGTGCCTGGAAACCAAACATTTCCCAAACCTTTTCCTTTCTGGAAACACGCCCAGAAGGAGTGGTTGTGGCAAGAAGTGTCCAAACCAGGAACATCACTGGGGATGGGGCTCGCCCCAGTGTCAGGGACATCTGCCACTCCCTAGGGATTTGTGTGCAATGTGTCTGTGTGTGATGGCTCTCCTTGTTGTTTCAGTGCTTCCAGAGCCACACCTGCCCACTTGGAAAGAATTCTCGGGACTTTTTTCTGTTTCACTTGAAACAGAGTCAAGAGAGAAGGTGATAGGGGTGAGCACCCTTCTTAGTAATTTCTGAATATGTGTTCAGCAAAGAGGAGGCTTAAGCTTAACAACTTTCTCAGTATGCAGGAGCTCAAACTTGCAACACCTATCTGGATGTGGCTGGAATGCCAGGATGTGGGTTACCTAGTGTGGCACATAAAGAGGTTTCCCCTTGAAGCTGTGAACTCTGTCAGGTTGAGGTATGAGAGGTTGGAGTGGGTCTGTGTTTCTCGAGGAGGACCTGTGTCTGAGAACCTGCTGTTTGTATTGTGCTGTTGATTCAAGTGTCTCACAGCATTTAGGAAAGTTTCAACAGCCCAGGAAGGTGCCTGCAGGCAGGCAGGCAGGCAGGAAGAGTTAGAACTTGAGTCTCCTGACTCCCAAAATCATGCTGCCTTCTATAGCATGGAGGTCTCATCTTCGGGGAATTTGCTGTTACAGACAGCCAAGCAGGAGGTTTGAGGTGTTTAGTGCTCATTTTCTCACTGTTCATTGTGATGAGGTGGTTTTAGAAAATGCCTGCACTCCAGCTAAGGTTGGAGAGTCCTCTGGGACTTCACAGAATTTACAGAATTACAAGGTTGGAAGAGACCTTAAAGATCATTGAGCCCAACCCATGCTCTAAGACCTCAACTAAACCATGGCACTGAGTGCTGCATCCAGTCTTTTCTTAAACACATCCAGGGATGGTGACTCCACCACTTCCCTGGGCAGACCATTCCAGAACTTTATCACCCTTTCTGTAAAAAACGTCTTCCTAATATCCAGCCTATATTTCCCTTGATGCAGCTTGAGACTGTGTCCTCTGGTTCTGTCAGTTGCTGCCTGGAGAAAGAGACCAACCCCCACCTGACTACAGCCACCTTTCAGGGAGGTGTAGAGAGTGATAAGGCCACCTCTGGGTTCATTTCAAATAAACTTAGGCATCCTAGAATTTAAATGGGTACTTAGTGTTTAGTCTTAGAGATTTAATTGAAATTTAATAGCAACAAATAGTGAAGACAAATTTCATGCTGGAAGATTGACTGACAGATGACTTCTTCCAGAGTGAACTAATAAAGTTAATTAATTGTTCATAGAAACCCAATATACCAAACAACTCGTAGGTGACATAAATATCTTAAGGATCTGGCACCTGGCAAAGGAGAGTGAAGAACTGTTATCATTAATAACAGTTTATTCTCAGGCTGCTGGCTGAGAATAAACTTCCTGGGAAAAGGGTGGGAATATATAGGTCGCTTCTTTAACCAAGGATTTTGTATAGGTCAGGCAAATGCCTCAGAATGTGCAGACACTAAAAGAATTATAAAACAGACAATGGTTTTGGAAGTTAAAATTCATAGGTAATTTTAAAAAAGGAAAAAATGGTTTGGAAAAATACACAAGACAAAGAAATATTGATCATTAGGTGCAATATTTCTTTGGCATTCCAGTAAGTGACATTTCCTTCATCAAAGACCTATTAGACTTTAAGGATATGTGTAGCTGTCATTTATGGGTTTCAGTAGCAATTACTCAGGGTTGATTAGTTTCAACTTGAAAAACATTAGAGAAGGATTGTTGGCAGCTGTGAGAGATAAAAAATTAATCACATTTTTGTGGAAAATCAAAGTCAACCTGCCAGTGTCAGAATTACATAGCTGGAGACAACACATTCATGAAGGGATATAAGTACAGTGTAAAAAGAGAATCAGTCTGCAAGATTTTCACCTTTTAATGTTAATGGTATTTTCTTAGCAAGAACATTAATTTTTTAAGGTAGGACCAGCTTCTGCTATCAAATCTATGACAAAAAGCTATTCCCTGTAGCTGGACTGTTGCTGGGAAAGAAGTTACTCCATACCATATTTTCCCTTAAGGGTGTGAAATGACGTGCTGGAAAGCAGATAACTAGGGATGAGCATTTCACACCCCATCAATAAAATCGTCAATATGCATAGTTCAGATCATGGTTATGGGCATTGTGCTGAGCTTTGCTCAAGGGACTTCTTCTAGTGGCTATTCCTAGGAGAATTGTTGATACTATTCTATTTATCTCATGAAATAGGCCTTCGTTTTGGGGGGTTTTAAAGAAGTACTGTGGTTTAAATGAAAAGTTTAAATGAAAGTTCTGTAAATAAAAGTTCCTGCTCTCTCTCCTCCTTTCTCACACAGACACCCATGGTACAAGGGATTTTATTGTAAGGAGACATTTTTGGTAGAGGTATTATTGTAAAAATTATAGTTACACATCTGCTTAATCAGTGTTCCTAAATTAGAACATGCCAAGAAATGAAGCGAGATGACAGTAATAGTTGATCTTTTTCAAATTCTTAGGAAAAACATAAAAAGAAACATGCTGTCAAACTGCAAATGTCCTGGAGACCTGTTACAACTGTTTTACAAGGCAGTTGTACAACGTTGCCAAAATTAAAGAGAAAATGGATATTATTTCACTAGACTGATAATCATCTAATCATCACACTGATGTATGTGGGTCTAAGATGAGTTGATCAAAATCTTTTTTTCAGTATACTTTGGCATTAATGTACATCTGAAGATGGCATAAATTCATTGCAGAGCGTGTCAGCATGTATTAAATGAGTACAGCCTGTTAGTGAGACTACCAGTGAGTTAAGAAAAGAAGGATTTTGAACTAAGAAAAAAAGAGATTGAGAGGGAGAGGAAGAATACAAGTATCAGTATGAAGAAAAAGAATACAAGTGTCAGTAAGATGCTCATGAGGATCTTATTGCCCTGATATTTGCTGGTTTTTCATTTTACAGTCCATTAACATTATGAAGCGGACATTGCAGAAATATGGAAGCTATGAAAAATTTGAACAGGCCACTGGAGGCAGCTTGCTGACCAAAAGTCGTATCTGGAATCACGTCAGGAAGTACATGGTGAAAGAAGGCTGTCTTGGTGAGGTAAGTCCTGCACTGGATCAGGAAAGAAACACTTGTGTGGACCTTAGACATTGGATGGACCCAAGAGACCATCTGGGAGGCCTTTCCTCCATAATCACAAGAATATTCCTTACATCATACTTTTCTCATAGCTAAGCCCAGTCTAATGTGTGAACAATTGAAACGACACACATTCATTGTGAAGGCTTCAGTCATCTCTCTGAGCCTGTTTCCTGGTTCATATATGCTTGTTCTTAAGTTCTCTTCTTCTGGGAGTACCCAAAAACAACACCCTTCCTTCCCTCCTTTTTTCAGCTACTTGGAGACCAGCACATTTCCATTTATTCATCAGTTCTGCCATCTGTTCTCCTGTATCAAATTATTTACACCAAAGGAAAGAGTTAAGAAAAGGCCAAGAAAAATAAGCAGCAGCCCAAGAGAGTGATTTATAAGAAGCAACACAAATGAAAGTGACATAAGTGAATAAAAATGTCTGAAAGAACTTGTTGAGTTGGTTTAAGTGCTGTTTTTTTCCTGGCTTTAATCATCTAATTTATAGAGCCCTGTGAAAAGAACCTTATTTTCTATAGTCAGAATTTTAGAAGACTGGTTTGATGAAGTTACATGAAATTGCTTGGAAAAGTCAGATGAAATTGAATGTATAAAAAAGGGATTAATCCAAATGAAATCACCAGATGACAGAGTCAAAGACTTGGATGAGATCACTGGCAGTGAGCAAGAGGAGTCTGGAATCATAAGGCAAAAATTAATTTCCCAGAAACTAGGTTTAATTGGTAAACATAATATTATTAGAAGAAACTGCTAAACTCATCACACATTTTTGTGAGACTATGATTTGACAGTGATAACCAGACTACCTGGGTTTATAAGGGTGGGATTACTAAACTACAGTTTAGAGCAGGCAGAAAAAAAAAATGTATGTTTTGTCTTTTCTTGTACTTTTATCTCCCTCTTCATTTTTGGCTTGGTTTGACTTCATGGCAGCTGGATCCTACATCTTTATCCAGCAGCCCATGTCCTTCTTAATGAAATACTTCACTTTTTCTGCAAAAATAGGGTTAATATATCATGCTCATGATAGTCTAAAATATGAAAATACTCTCTCCAGCTGAAGAGGTGTTAATAAAGCTAAGTGGCACCTGTACTTTAAATCTAAATGCTTTGGGATTTATCTTTTTTTCCTGCCTCTTAAATGCAAGTTTTATGGGACTGATGGTTTGCTGTTGAACTTGAAGCTGAGGGTGAGTTTTGAGTACAGGGAGGCGTTATATTCGTGCCTTTGATCTCTGGGTCCTTTTCTTTTGGATACTAAAAAAGTAATCTTTCTTTAAAGTAGTCTCCCTTGTACTCTTCTGAGCAGAACTGTTTCATTAGGCTTTATGTGAAGAGGGAAAGGTGCTTAGTCTTTAACAAAGAGTTTCGCTTTTCCCTCTCAGTCACTTGTTTAAAAAGGCTTTTTTAAGTCAAATAATACAGTATATCAATATACATTAGTTTCCTTCTCTGCCAGTTTTTGTTTTGATTAGCAGTTTTCCAAGAGAGAACAGGAAAGCAAGAGCTATTCTGCTGTGTAGAACAAAACAATGCCAGTATTTCAATATTTCAAGTCTGCAGTATGTAACAGGAGAAAATGTACACAGTACTTCTCCCTCTCATTGAAGTGGCTTTAGAATTGCAACTGAAATGCAGTCAGACAGCTAATTATATAGATACCTAGTCAATGTACGTGTTCTTATCTAGTATTTTTCAGTTCTCAGTAATACTAAGATAATTCAACACAGTTCAAAAACTGGTATTTTCTCTAATTTATTCTGCATGCAATTGCTCCCTGCCCTCTTGAGTCTAGTCAGTGTTACCATACTAAATTCTTCAGTCTCACGTTGGTCTACCTTTACCTTCACTCACCCCATAAAGTCTGAGCTTCTGTCAGTAGCCCAGGTGAGCAGGATAAACTCATTCCAAAGGCTGTCTCAGGTGACCGCTGATCACAAGACAGAGTTGCGGAGGGCAAGGGACCAGAGAGAAATGAAATAATGGAAGAGACAGAGGAAAAAGCAGGATCAGGAGCAAGAAGAGAGCTCTTTCAGTTCTGCCTGAACTCTCTCCTCTTCAGATTGTGGTCCATCTCACGGAGGACCTGCTGTCGCGAGCCTCCATGACGGTGGTGAACGGCCGCCCCACTCTGACCATCAATGTCTCCACCGCGCGCGAGCACTGGCTGGAGGGCATGCTGAGACACGAGATTGGTATGAGCATCACACCCCTTCTGCAGGCACTGGGGAGTACTTGCATGCATCCTTACTTATGGCACAGTGGTGGGCTAGGCACTGGGCAGGTACAGAAAGAGGGAACATCCCTATCCAAAGAGCCTGTGCTGGAGATGTGCTAAAGGGAAGAGAAACCTTCTCTTTCCCTAAAGGGAAGGAGAAACCTTTAGATGTGTTAAAGGGAAGGAAAAACCTTTTGAAAAGGATTCCTAGGGTTCATGGACATTAGCATTTTAGGTCAGATCCAGAGCAAGCTTTCGAAGTAACCCTACCAGCCAGTCCCACTTATAGCACTGAGGTTCCCATGCCGAAGGAATCTTGGAGCAGACAGAGAGTAATCCTTTCAGATGATGCTAGCCCAGAGGCTCTGCTCCAGGGCATACCTTCTGTGCTGTCATTGCTTAAGGACATTTTGCTCTTTAGAGCAATTTTTTTTAAAATACCCTAGACTTAAAAAAAAAAGGGAAATAAAAATAGTGTGACCGTTCAACCTCGGCTCTTGCCATGTCACTTTACGAACCTCTGTCTGTCACGCTGCACTGTATGCAAATGTAGGCATGCTTTAGGTATGAAGAATTTATCCAGTGATCCTTAAACTGGTGTAAAATTGCTGTGGTTTAGCATTACACAAGGCCCAGCCCTGTGGAAAATTTCTACAAATTTTTCAGTGCATCTGTTTCAACTAAGTACATAAAATATTGATAAACTTGACTAGTGCCTAAATAGCAACTGAAGAATAAGCCTTGCAATTGCCTAGAACCACTGTTACTCACATTTTAGGGGACATAGCATCTTCCAAGGCTGCAGTAGTGCTGTTTAATCACCTTCAGGAGGCAACATTTCTGCCCTTTTACTTGGATTTTCCTTCATGCTGTTCCCTACAATGCCTAGCCTATGCCAGATAAAATTCAGCTTGTTAGACTTCCAAAAATTCCTTTTCACAGATTTAGGAAGTCAAGTCCTCCTGATAATTGCATTACTTAAGCATTTTCAGGAATTTCACTTGCAGTTAGCAGGTGAATATTTGCATGGTATATATATATCTGACAAAATAGTCTGTTGTAGACATAACTGAAGTCCTCACTTTTCCCTACCAGCTCAGAGTTCTGAAGTAGGTATCTCCTTATATATTTTATAACTTTTTGTTAATCATTGGATGATTAACATGTTCTAAGTGCCAGATTCCTTTTTTTTTATTTTATTTTTTCTTTCTACTTTTTTTTTGTTAGGAACTCATTACTTTCGGGGTTTCAACAACAACAGCCAGCCTTGGTGCAACCGCAATGGCCGTAGGAAACACGGGTTAAAGCCCATCAACCCCACGGAAGAGGGGCTAGCGAGCATTCACAGCGTCCTGTTCCGCAAAGACCCTTTTCTTTGGAGAGCTGCCCTGCTCTACTACACGGTGTACCAGGCAAGCCAAATGTCCTTCAGTCAGCTTTTCCAGGATGTGGGCAAATTTGTCAAGGACCCCAACACTAGGTGGGATTACTGCGTACGGGCCAAGAGAGGGTGGACTGACACCTCACAACCAGGTGAGTTCCCTGTTTGTCTTCTCTTGTTTTGTGCTTCAGGGGGGTTTTCAGAATGTGCACAGATCATGTCACACAGTAAAACCTTTGCAAAGGGGAGAAATCGGACTTCACGCTTTCTGAAATGGGGTCTCAGGAATTCTGCTATGGAAAACAAGGCTGAAAGTGCTCATGGGTGAGACCTTCAAGCTGAATTAGTAAAGGATTTTTTAATTTTTTGGTAGAAGTGGAACATAAATGCAAAACTTGGAAAAATTCATACTCACAGTTTGACCTGCTTTCTACAGATGTAATGTTGCCTGTGGTTATTCACAGGCCCTATCTTCTATGTTTGATTTCTTTTTCTGGCTAGTGGGTTTTGCCTTCTAGCTAGTTTTTGGAAAGGTGTTCAAAGTCAGGGATATAAATATCTAGTTTTTGAAAATAAAATTGTTCTGCTCATAATGGCTTCTGAGAACATGCCTTGACCGAACACTGATAGAGTGCAATGTATCTCCATTCCTTTCAGGCTGTTTCAATAAGGACCAGGTGTACTTGGATGGCATCCTCCGAATCCTGAGATACAGGGAGTCCATTGATTTCCATCTTCTGACAGCCCTTGGAAAGGTGATTGAACTCATTATTCCCAAGGGTACAGTTTTATCATTTCAGCAAGCCTGCCTGTAATGAACCATGAGTCATGGTGCTTTTCCTTTGATCTAGAATTCTCTGGTCTGTACAGCGCTTTCAGTTACACTGTACAAGTTGCAAGTATTTTGAGGTCCTAAAAATTTCTATCAGCTTGACCTCAATCTTCACTAAGATTTTATGGTCATATTTCTCAGACTTTCCTACCTTTATGGGATACTACCTGACTTGCAGTACAACAGACTGCCTTGGCCAAACAAGACAGGTACTAAAAGATGACAAAAGGAACCAACCATCTGACATTAATGCACCCCCCTTCCACCACAAAGACTATTTAATCTCAAAGTTCTCTCACTGATGGCAGGTGTTTTTAAAAATGAGGTTTTTTTCCCCCCAGAATAATGATATTTCTGCATTCACAGAATGTGAATGAATTTTAGGTGCATTCTGACTGTCATGGCTTGTTTGTCCTCAGCTCATCCTAAAAAGTGCAGAAATTTTGTCACACTTCCTAAACCCAAGGACTGCTAAGCTTTCACAGTTCATTAGGCAGGGTTCATACTCACATAAACAGGGAGTCAAATTGACTTGAGCTTGAATTTAGAGCTGGTATACCAACATTTCTGCCTACTTAGCAATCAATGGGGTGATTAAGGGACGGGACATATTATGATAGAGGGTCTTGGTCCACATTTGAGTTTTCCCTTTACTGTCAGAATCATACTTATTGATAAGCAAGAGCTATTTAGGTAACTGAACCAAGTTAGGAAGCTTTGAAAATAAAATCACACTGTCAAATAAGTCTGCAAGTTTCTCTCTGAAATTTCCTTGTGCTTTAAGCCTGCTTAACTCCACACAGCTTCTGCCTGCTAAACCACTGAACACACAGTTCCTTTACTGCTTTATGCCTGTCTCTCTTCAGGGAGTCTGCAGGTTGTCAGGCCACTGGAAAAACACACTAAGTCATTCCTCATAAAATTACAGCTTCCACTATGATCCACATTGCATGGCACCCACATTAAGGGTCTACAAGCGATTTATTTCTAGCAGTATGGTAATTTATAAGTGCTTGACTTTACAACTTTTAAAATCAAGGGATCTTAAAATGTGTTCTGAATGGTTTAGCTTCAGACATCTGCAGTCAAGCTGGAAATTTGTGTATCAGGGCAATGTCTGTTCCCAGCATCACAGATTAGTTGAGGTCTGCAGAGATCTCAACATCATCTAGTCCAGCTTCCCTGCTTAAGCAGTGTCAGCCAGAGCAGTTTGCCCTGGACCATGTCCAGCTGGGCTTTGAATATCTCCAGTGATGGTGACTCCATAACTCCTATGCGTGGCCAGTGCCAGTGTTTTTCCACCCTCATTGTAGAAAAATGTTTTTAGTTCAGATGGAATTTTATGCATTTTAACTGGTGCCCACTGCCCCTTGCCCTGCCAGGGTGTGCTGGTGAGAAGAGCCCCATTCCCATGTTTATACACACTGATGATTCCTGTGAGCTTGCTTTTCTCCAGGCTAAACAGTTCCAGCTCTCAGCCTTTCCTCACAGGAGGGATGCTCCAGTGCCTTAATCATCTTAGTGACCCTTCACTGGGCCCGCTCCCATATATCTTCTCATGAAAGAGAGAAGCATAAAACTTGCACTGGGATCTAGCCTAGTGATTTATCACCACTTTAAATGGAGGATTTACTTGGATTTTTTAGGGTGGAATGGGAGGATCAGGTCGTTCCAAAGGGAGTATTAAGCTTGGCTGGCACATTTTCCAGGTCCTGCCTTCCTGTTGCTTCTGACTTTGCTTACAGTGTAGAAGAGTGTGGTGTGGATACATGCAAGCTGTTCAACGTACCTAGAAGTGACTAAGGGAAACGCTTGAAACCTGAGAAAAGGTGCTTCTTAAAAGGAGCAGTTTTAAAACTTCACAGGAAAGAATCAAATACAGGAAGCACTGCAAAATATTCATATGGTAATTGCATGCAGATATTGCCAAAGAGAAATAGAATGCAGATATTGGGTGCACTTGAGTTTAGAATAACTACCAGAGTTTGAAAAAGTAAAAGCAGCAAAATATCACCTACTGTTGTGTTTCCCAAGAAACACACAAGCACATTACAAAGAGCATAAGTAAACCTGTTTTAGCCTCAGTCTTTTTTATCTAGTGCAATGACTAATAAAATGTGGTAAGTAAAACAACCTGTTTCCACCATAGGATGGGATTATTTTTTTTGATCTCCTCAGGATGTCAGCTTTGGTAATTTTTTAGCAATTGCAAGGACTGGGGAAATGCATCCCATTCAAACCACATCTCAGATTATAGATGCATGTTTCTTGTTTGCAGCAGTAACAGAAACCTCTGAACATAAGTATGAGGGGAGAAGGATCCTTTTGCTTTCTTTAGGCAGGAAAAGAGGTAGAATTTAATTGCATGTGATGCTGTGTCTCCAGACTGAGAGATGGTATGGTTTTGTGGAGCTCCTCTCTATCCACTTCTAAGTAAGTTAATTAGGTGTAATGCCACACAATCTTCAAACAGCAGTATCTTAGTGACTTGAATAAGCCTGGGCATGGGTGTTTGTTTTCTTAATTGGGTGCATCTTGTCCTTGCAACTAGAAAAGCACACTTGTGTACTCAGATGCAAATTGATTCTCCTTGTGGGCTTTGTTCTAGTTATCATTGCTGAGATATGCACCTGTCCCTGTGGATCAGGTTTAGTGCAATCTGGATTGCACTGTCCTGTCTTTGCAGGAAGCCCTTCCGTGCCCCTTGCACACTGGTGAATCCTTCATGTGCACTTGAATTGCTGCTGAGTAGAAACCATCACCTGCCAAGAGGGCAGGCTGCTTCCAGGGAAACCAGGCCCTACAGGGCTCAGCTCCTTAGGGGAAACATGGGGCAAAAGGGTTGGAAGGAGCAGGCTCCACTCAAGCCACCTGGCACAAAGCTCGTGTGAAGCACAGCGAGGCTGGGGGCTTTGCCAGAGCATATGCTGCTGTCTGCAGGGTGCCCAGAACACACAGCTTGGAGACAAAGCGACAACCACACAAATTTCATCACACTGGACAGCTGCCCAAGGAGTCCTACTCTCTGCTTCCATGGCAGCTTGTGCCCAGCCAAAGCAGTCATCCTTTCTGGACTATCATTCACAGCATCTTGAGCTACTATGATTAGAAGTCCGAGCTTTTAGAATCATAAGACTATGAAGATAGACATATCCATCTTCCTTAGGGAAAAAAGCTACCAGACCCTCTAATAGCTGCAAAATGAGAGTTCAGCACCAATACCCAGAAGGCTCTGATACCATGAGGCAAACCCAGTCTGCACTCTACTATTGAATGGGGTAAACAAAAAAACTAAAATTGGGATGCTTAGGTATTGTTCATGCTGTAGTTAGTTACTAGAGATGCATTTCAATTTAGCTTTGCATAAGCACATTTACTCATGAAAATGCAACAGCAAAGTTCAGGTCAGCTGGCACCATGCATTTCCCAAACTGCTTCCTGTGCCATGCCTGTGCTGCCCTCCCTTTCTAGTTCCTTAGTCTTTTGCACAGTGTTTTTTCCATTCTCATCTAAATCTTTCTGCCTCGTTGAGAAGACATTCCAGGACTCACATGTGCTCCATCCTTTCCTTCTCTATTCCTGCAGCTGCTGTAGATGATTCTCATTCACATTCCTACAAGCCTTTTCACTGATTGAATCAAAACAGAATCAGGAATTATGAAGGCATTTGCTAAATTTACACTTCTTTTGCATCTTCCACTGAAGCACACAAGTTGCTCATGTTTTCAAATGCTTCTCCAAGGTTTTAAATTCTCCTCCTCTGAAACATTTTCTCACTTACCAGAGAGAATTTATAGCAGCAGCAGAGAGGCAATGGGACTGTACTGCTAAATTGACCCGTGTCCTTCCTTACAGATCTCCTATGAGGACGTGGATCGCCTGAAAGGATTGGCTGTGATTGAGAACATGAGGGTGCCACACTTTTTGCAAGACCACGCCCGGTACATGGAACACTTGAAAAAGATCATGGAAGTCAATGAGCTGACTGATGAGGAGCTCCAGGATCTCATAAATTAACAGTATTAGACATCCATTCACTTACTGTGTGAGCATGTGGAACTGGACTTCCCAGAGCTTGCAAAAAGGGACTTATGAGGAATGGGAGGGAAGAGTGGCCAGAATATGTGAAATTCATCAAAAGCCCCTTTATGTCCTTTTGCATTGTGATTGTATATGGATTATTTTTTAAAGGGATTGTGCATTTTTGTAAAATTTGGCTTAGAAATTCCTCTGCAGTGATCTGTTCAACCATCTACTCTGTTTTGTATGCTTGGTATAGTGCTCAGTGCTGTCTCTTGTAATATATTGCCTTTTCCCTCCCAGGTTTAGAGGTGGAGGAAAGGAGACAGAGGAGAAATTCTCCCTTAGTTCACTTTTGTTTGCCTTATCTTTGGTCATAGCTGTCACGGTTCATAGCAATAGAACTGCTGTAGATTATGCTGCATTGCTGTCTGCATAACTTTCCCATTTAGTCATCACTGCAATGAAAACAGAAAGTTTAAAAACAGTGCACAGAAGCAGGTCTTTGTGCCATGGGATCGAAGTCTGTAACATTAAAAAATGTTTCAGGGTTTTTTTTAGTGAGAGGATTAGCATTTAAAAAAGAGAGAAAAGGTAGGTAGTGCTGTTTTAATGATTGTAAGCAGGTAGCAAAGCTTTCCCCTTCATTCCCTCAGAAAGTTACAGTGTTCTACATCTTTATGTGTATAGTACATGTTTCAGGAAGCTGAATTCTGGGAAGGGCCTCCCTCCTTTGAGGACAAGCATAGCATGTCTAGGAAATTCAGCATGGCATTGTTTTGGAAGGAGGATCGAGCAAAACTGTGATTTCATGACCTATGGTTGTAAATAAATTCAGGAACACAGGGCCACAATCCAGCACAGCAGGCAACACTCACTTCTTCCTTGGATCACCTGAGCCCACAGAGGATCAGGTCACATTTTTGAGCAGTACCCCCACACTACAGCAAGCCTGACCTTGCAGAGCTCGTTTCAGAAACAAAGTGTGACTGGGGGAGAGAAGACAACTCTCAAGTGCCCTATTCCTGTGTTCCAACAGAAGTGCTGCACCACTCTGGAGCCACTTTACCTCTGTTTTAACTGCTGGTGCTATATCCAGGACCAAGGAAAGAAAGCTCCTGGCAGCAAAGAGCTTTCTCTAGTCACATGATGAATAACTTAGATGACGCAGGAGGACTTACTACATAAGCTACATTTTCTGATTGGGGTGTATTATGGAATTGGTGAGGCAAAGTATTCTGACAAAGGGTTTTGTTTTAGTAGACAGAATTTTACAAGGGCTCCTCTGAGCTCCTGGGAAGCAGCTGTGGTCAGAGAGGCTGGGCAGAAACTAGTGTGAGCCTTGGACAGGGCTTCTGCCCTTTCTTATCCTGCTGCTCTTGCCCACTGGTAACAGGCCTGGCATGGGATAAGGTGAGTAGATGGAGCCAAGGTTTCCTCCACGCCACATTTGCATGGACTTGAGCCACAGTATCCCTCCCCTCTTATCTGTTCTTTAATGTAACAAATGCAATAACTCTCCCACCTTGTTTTGTACCAGGACATTACCAGACAAATCTTGAGAACATGTTTCCTGATCCATAGGAAAATCTGTGAGGAAAAGGTGATGGCTGGCTAAGAGGTCTGAAGGTTTATGAATAATCCCATACAAGCAGCTGCCTTTCAGATACTATTGGAGATTGTTTGCAGTGGCTGGCTGACTGCTGTGAAAAAGAAAATGCATTCAACAAGCATAAATTTACTAAATTTAGTTGTTTTCAAGGCAGGGACTGAGAACTGCTTGCAGCAGCCTTAATTTTGTGTTGTCAGTATTGTTCAGGAGCTGAAAGCCATTCAGCCCCTGTATGCTGTTTTCTCTCCTTTCCTGCTTCAGGCTGTCTAGTTTGATCACTGGTGACTTGGCCTTCCCAGCTTTGTTTTAGAGCTGTGCAGAGCAGGCACAGAGCTGCTGCAGCAGCCTGACAGGAGCCATTTGCAGTCAGTCCCGCACGTGTGCTCCAGGTTTTGGCTCCTTTGCCAGAAACAGCAAGAAAGTCACACATGACTGAAGTCAAGCCAAGGATTACAGTCAAAAGCTGTCTTTGGAGCACTAAACTGGGCAGAGATCATTTGAGCTACACTGTGGAAAAATCTGGCTCACTTTGCTGACCCTGGGATATGCAAAAGGGACAGTCCTTTAAGAAAGGAACCATTTTGAACTGATTTTATGCTGACAGGAGAGATCCCTGCCTTTCTCCCATGACTTTTACATAAGCAAAGTGGTTTTCCTCTTCCCACAGAAGTAGCATCTTACAATCAAAGTGCACATGCATAATGCGTCCTCAAAACCAGGAGGCTGTGCTAGTCACACTTTTACCAAAATGCCATGCCTGCAGGCCTGACTCTTTTACACTCTGTAGCCCTAAACACTACTACAGGCCTTTTTGCTTTACTTGAAGACCTGCAGCACCTTTTTTGCAAAGCAGTAGGTGCCATTAAACTTCCATTCTTCATTATTCTAGAAATAGATTTGCCTGGTGCAAAGTTTGGAGTCTGGAAGTGGTCAGCATCAATATGTAGCAATAGGTGAAGCTGTCAGCTTCTGGTTTTGGCAATGTGTCTTTCCTCCTTTGTAAAAGTGTCTCAAATTTTGAAGTGTAGCTTTTGTAAATTTTCCTGAATTTTTGTTCTTCACTGTGAAGAGGCTGGTTACTGAGTTGTGATCCTGAAGTTCTGTGATGGAGTGTGTGGACAGCAGTGAGCTCATGTCACTGCACAGTTTCATGGTGTCAGTGCTGTGTTGGCAGCCTTTCCTGGCTGTCTGCCTTGGTTGCTTTGGTGTGTATCTATGTCTTGCTATGTTATTCCTATACAGAAACCTGGCTGGCATTGGAAAAGCCTCCCCATTTCACCAGACCAATTTTGAAAGGCGTTTTATACAACTTTTACAAATAAAGACAAAATAATGACAGAGATGAGAGTACTGGAGTGTTACATCATGTTGTGTCAGAGGGTTGCTCTCTCCAATGGCCTCAGCTCTACAGCAACTTGGACATCCTGTGTTGTGTGTGGAAGAGGTTCCTTTCTGACTCTTTTTCAAAGACATCACTTAGGGCTGAAGTCATGAAGGGTGTGCTGAAGTCTTACACTGGGTATGGCTCTCCCTGCTCAGTCAGAAGGCCTGGCTGCTCATGAGGAAATTATCCTCCTATTTTCTAGGATATGGTCTGAGGCAGCATTGGAGCCTCTTTGCTGCAATGCAATTCTCAGCACCATCCATGTGGGAAATGGCAACTCCAAATGTTCCATTTTAACACTTTGATCCACTCCCAAAACCCCCCACCCCCTGCTGCTTCATTCCAGTGCTCTCCATCCCCTCTCACATTATAAAATGTGCTTACTTATCTCCAGGGAGTCCCATCATCTCCTTATGGCTCAGCTCCTTATGTGTAAGGGTAACATTCGAGGGTTGTGGTTCTTTTTAACGGAAATATTTTCAAAGTCAATTGCTAATTTTCCTTGCAAGCCTGCTAAGTATTATCACACCATATTCCCTTTCCCTTGCTAGGAAGTTTGGCAAACATGACCTGAAATCTGTTCCCTTCAAAGGTTCCCAAACCACCACTGCTGTCCCTTCCCCATGCATCTCTGACAGCCCTTGTACAGCGTGAGTAGGGTGAAACACAGCCCTCAGCCATCACTGGCAGGTCTATTTCAGTACTGAATAAATCTCACATTTGTTACAGGTGATCTGCAGGACCAATGCAGTTCTGAAGTTTTTTTGCAGCACTCAAGTGCCAGGCCTGTGAAGCTGGATGCCCTGCCACCAGTTTGAGAAGCAACTTAAGTACCAAGGTTCTCTGAAAGGAGGGAAAGATGGAAATCATTTATGCTGGAAACTGGGATGGAAATCTGGAGACCCATGAGTCAGAGTGGAAGTTGAGAGACACCTTGTCTAAGCCAAGAGAAAGGCAAAAGGAAACAGCTGGAACAATTCTTTTGTCTGGGTTTCTTTGGGGGGATTTTTGTTATTTATTTATTCTGTTGGTCTGTTCAGTCTGGAGTTTTTTAAGGGAATAGTCATTTAAAAGTGTCTTAATAACTTCCATAATATATTAACACAAAATTAAGTTAGAGGACTTTCTTCAGTATGCAGTTTAAAATGAATGTCTGAGATACAGAAGGGAGAATCTGTTTTGGCTTTGCTGAACAATTAGAGGCTTCTCACAGTCTATATTAAATCCAGAAACTCTGGATATTGAATTTTAAACCCTTTCATTTTCATTGATTCCATTGCAGAAAGATGTCATCAGGACTGCCTTTCAAGGCATATCCTTACTCTTCCCATTACAGTTGTCCAAATTAATTTTTTATGCTACTACTGAAATGTTTTGTATCCTCCCCAATCACACAGTGCCCCTGAGACACTTTAAACATCTTTTTCTGAGATGTCTATGGACAAGCAGGGTGAAGTACAGCATTGTTTCAGCTCTTTAGAAGGAGGAAGTGAAGAAACTGAGGCTGAAGTTGGAACTGCACTGGCCACAGTCTGAAGAAGGAAAGAGCAAGGGTAGAGAGCCCACAAGCAGGGGCAGGGAGCAGAGTGAGCAGGGTCAGGTTGTATAGACATGGTTTTGAAAAGAAAAAATTCCTGGAAAAAATTCCTAAAAAAGTTGGTGGTAGAAGAAATGCAGATGGTGGCACAGGAGGGGCTGGCATGAAGCCATATTACTCCTGCCATCCCCAGGGTCAGTGGGATGGACACCTCCCTGCAGGGACCTTCTGACTGGATCTGTGCAATTCCAATTCCACTTTACACTACTCCAATACAGCAGAGCTGGCCTCATGTTCAGGCCTGTCCCAGGAGTGCTCTGAAAAGGACACTTGGAGGGTCTCACATTTCTACTTTAGGGCCCAGTTTCCATCCTGTGGCACATTCCAAGCCACAGGAGACCTGTCAGGCTGTTTTCTCCAGCTTATTGGTTTATTTCATGTCAGTCTTGTCTGACTTTTGTCCTGGTCTCTAGCACTCATCCATCAGGCTGGTTTTTTTTAAATTCAAGTCCTTCACATTCCATTT